ACAACCCCCGTCCGAGCCTCTGGGCCCAGGCACCGCGCTGGGCACGCTAGAGGGAGGGCCCGAGGCCCATCCTGTCCCCTATGACGTGTGTCTGTCCCGTGACATGTGTCCATCCCGTGGCATGTGCCCATCCTGTGATGTGTGTGCGTCCCCTGTGACATGTGTGTCCATCCCGTGACGTGTGTCCGTCCCCTGTGACGTGTGTCCATCCCCTGTGACGTGTCCGTCCCCTGTGACGTGTGTACGTCCCCTGTGATGTGTGTGTGTCCATCCCCTGTGACGTGTGTCCATCCCGTGACGTGTGTGTGTCCGTCCCCTGTGACGTGTGTCCGTCCTGTGACGTGTCCATCCCCTGTGACGTGTGTCCGTCCCCTGTGACGTGTGTCCGTCCCCTGTGACCGTCCCCTGTTGTGTGTGTCCCCCGTGACGTGTGTCCATGCTTTGCATTCACAGGCACGGAGCTCGAGGGCCAGGCTGTAATCTGCAAGCTGGCCCGCTGGGCGGGAGCGGCCCCTGCCCGGCCTGTGTGCCCGTCTCTCAGGTGAGCGCTGTGCCCACTGCAGGTGCCCGGCGACAACGGTGAACATCTGAGACGGGAGCAGGAGGGAAGTGCCCCCGAGAGGAAGGGTGGCTCTGCTGGCGCCTCCTCTGAAAGGATGGGCATCGGCCAAGGGGCCGGGAGGCGGGTCCTACACTGGGTCAGAGAAGCCCAGCATTAAAATTCAAAAGCTTCTCCAGCTGTGCACCCCTTCAGCCAACCTGTTTATTTTTCGGATTCTTGGTGTCCCGCTGGAGATATTGATGTTGGCGACTCACTGGGGGATTTGTGCCCTTCAGACCTCGGATGCCGTCTGCCCCCTGCACAGAACGGGGAGGGTGAGCGCTCACACCTCGGAGCCCTCGCCAGTCCTGGGTCCGAGCCCCACACCACGGCCAGCTGAGCGCTCAGTGCGGATGTGTGAGCCCCGCCGCCTCCCCACAGACAGTCCGGTCCCCGCGTCGCCGTCTGAGCAGGAAGAGCTGCGGCCAGGAGGCCGGCACCTCCCGGGGCCCTTGGCTGCCAGCGGCCCTCGTGCGGCAAGAACTCCGAGCCAACTGAGCGGTTCTGGGCTTTTCCCCGAGGACAGGGCCTGAGGCCAGATGGAGAGACTGAGGGATGGGCTCAGACAGACAGACGGGAGCTGGCCCGGCCTCCGCCTGGAGCCCCGGCACCCCACGGCGCCCTGAGCCCGTCAGCCCTGCAATGAGGAGCCCGGGGCAGAGGAGACACCATCCCGCCCTCCGTATCGTCACAAACGCACCGGGGCTGTCCCGGCTCCGGAGCTGCCGTTCCCGGCTCCGCGGCTCACTCCCTGCCCTGCTCAGGCCCAGGACGGGCCCCAGGCCCCCATGCAGACGGGGGGACCGGGCAGCTCCAGTGTGGGCAGCAGGGAGGGAAACGCTGGAGGAATTCCCGAAAACCAACACGCGTGCCCACAGCCCCGGCCCCGACCCCGGAGGACCCGCAGCGTGAGAGCCTCACCTTGACTCCTCGGGGGCCAGGGTAGCCGATGGGGCCCTGGGGGCCAGGGGGACCCTGTAACCAAGGGAGAGACCATTAGCTCCACCTCGGGGGTGGGGCCTGGTGATGTCCCGCCCACTCGGGGGTCCTCCCACCAGCAAATCCCAGCTCCCTATGAGCTGAGCTGTCATCCAGGTCAGACCCCGGGAGGGGCCACAAGAAGACACAGCCAGTGCCCACGGCCTCGCGCCCAGCCCACGGCAGAGGCGGGACACAGGTAGTGCCCTTCGTGACTGAGAATGCCACGGCCTGGCGCCCTGTGGGTCACGCCCCCGGGACTCGGGCCGGGCCGGGGAAGTGGTGGGAATCGGAAGGGCCGAGCTGTCATTACAGAAATGCGCTCCTGCCCAGGGGCCTCGGCAACACGGGAGCCTCGGGCTGGGAGAAGGGCAGCTGGTCGCCCACGGAAGGGGGTCCTTCAACAGCCAGAGGGCCCTGCTGCCCGCTGCCCACTGCCCACAGCTCCGGGAGCAGCGGGGCCTGGGCGCCAGGAGCAGGCAGGAGCAGACGCGGACTCTCGCCACAAACAGTAGCGGGAGTCCCGGGTGCTCAGGACACCCCGAAATGCCAACGACTTTAACCCCCCGACTTGGGCCCTGAACACAGTCGGTGGGCAGGAGGAGCCTCGGCCCAGGGCCTGCACGGTCCCGTCTCTGCCTGTGGAGGTCGCTGCACCCGCACCCCCACGTGTAGAAACGGAGGGGGTGCGACAGGGGGACCCAGCTCCCGGGGGGAGTGTCCCCAGGACAGGAGAGGGCACAGCTGCCCCGCCTCCCTTCTGAGCAGGTGGGCTGGCCCAGGGCAGGGCAGGGCCGGTCGGCAGGGGGCACTGAGGCCGGGGCGTGGCTGCACCCACCTGGGTTCCTTTCTCTCCGGGGGGGCCCTCTTTGCCAGGGTGCCCCTGTGGGAAAGAGAAGCCGCATGAGTCGGTGCCCACGGGATGCTCCCCTCCCCTCCCCTG